ACCAGCAACGTAAATTTAATTACGGCGAGACTTAGACAAACATTAAGTCTGAGCCTCTGCGTGGTCTGTAGAGTGATAACTGAATCAAGTAGGATTATTTCATCATTATCATGTTAAAAGCTTCATCGTTACAGAAGAGAAGTTAATGTTTCTAACTCATTTTAGCCTAGCAAAATACACTCCAAACATTGGCATGAGCCAGTTTTGTGCATTTACTGCTATGGAAGGGGCGGGGTCATGGAACCACGAGAGCAGAAAGCGTGCAGCCCTAATGGCAGCGCGGAGAGGAATGCGAGCTGAGAAGCTTCAGACGGGCCGTCCACGGTCTGGTGAGCGCACGACCGAGGGCCTCATTAAAGGCAGGTCTGCGGGAGCTGGTGCCCAGGCGCCCGGCTTTCCCGAGAGCCACTCAGTTAGATCCCCACGGGCCTGGAGAGCATTTCGTCTGGCCTTCCATTATGCTGTTTCTCTCTGTGGAAGCTGAGCCGCCACCTCCACCCTAAAGAGTCCCTTGCAAAGCAACCACCCAAGTGTTACTTCCTCTAGAAATCCTTCTTCTACCTTTCTGTCTTGAGACTTTTCTAGATTCGGGTGCTTACCTCGACGACAAAACTGTATTTTTGCCTCTGCCTGGATATCTAGGGGCAGCTGACACTATTGGTCTCTAGATTCCACACGGGGACTGGCATATATGGGGGCCTCAGGGCTGTTTGTTGAACGAATGAATGACTAGATGAATGAGTGGAACGGACAACACCTACTGTGTGCTTAACGCTAGATAAAGACAGTGAAGGCGTCTGCTCTAGAAGCTGAGGATCTGGGTCAGGAGAACAGGCAGCGTAAAGAGGAGCAAAAGGCCGAAAGCCAATACCGAATGAAGGCCGAAACAGCGAGCTGCCAGGACTGCAGCAGAGCTGCGCTTGTGGACAGAGCCCAGCACTGCCGGAAGGCAGCCTCGGCCCTGCGAGCTCAAGCTCAAGGTCAGTCTAGGCAGCTTGGTGAGACTGTCGGGAGGCGGGGCGGCCAAAGGCCTCTCAGTGAGGTAAAAAGTACTATAGTTTCACTTATGAGAATATAGACAAGACTAGATTTTGCATCCAGGCAAAACTGAGTTCAAATCCTGTCTCCTCTACTACATGTTCTCTAGGCAAATCACTTAACATATCCAAACCTTAGCTCATCCATCCGCACGTAAAGGTCATAAAAACAATCACGTTTTTACAGACATGGGACAAAATATATAAAGGCCTTTGGACAGCGCTTACATATAAGAAATGTAACTGTTGCTATTGCTGTCTTTTCTTAACACAGGGCTGTGGCAGATTTAAACGGCTTCATCCTAACACGCCTCGGTGGTGTGCATAAATGTGGACCAATGCGAAGCTCTAAGCCTCCTCTTTCACCAGGTTGGATCAAAATGGTAATGTGCAGCGGCAGCCTTTTAAATGCAATGGTTGGTATTAATTTGAAAACAACTAACTAGCTTGCGCCACCTCCCTAAAACACTGACTTTCTGGAACCAAGGGTCCCAGCTGAGGTTACTTCCAAAGCATCTCTGGGACAGACATCCAGTGTTCCGGTCTGCGCCACATTAATCCCCTTGGTCAAGGCAAGGTCTCTGCCAGTTAGGCCAATTAGCTTTCTTTTTCACCTCTTTGGACCATTATAGTCACTGCAGCCAGATCAACTCCTTTAATGACTCTGAATTGCTTTAGATTTATTTGATTGCTTTCTCTGTAGCGCAATGTCCTCTGTGAGAACAGCGTGGATACTGTGTGTCATTTATGGTGGCCACAGTGCCCAGACACGCTCGGTAGCTGTTCCTGGACACCACGGGCCATTGGCCACCAAAGCGACAACCCTTGCACCATGATTCTCTGACACTAGGCTCCAAGGAGCACTACAGCATTCTCTAAAAATGTGTTTGATACTCTGCTATCATCATTCATGTCAGCTCCTGAGGCTACCTGACAAAATAATTTTAGAGTTATCTTAAGAAATTTAATTCTAACAAAATAAAAAGTAAATTATTTTTTTAAAAAAAAAAAAGAAATTTAATTCTAAAACTGGTTAGAAAAATTTCCCATGGGGTCTGAATTTGTCTCTACGACTTTTCTGGAAATTTAAAAAACTTCTCTGGTCTCTTTCTATTAGCATTTTTATCATCTTGTATGTTGGAGTCATTTTTATTTTTAAAAATATTGAAGTGAATCATTCAGTTAATATTTGGATGCAGTTTATAATGGTGAAAGCATGTACTTCCTTTGCACGTGGAATAATTTCACGTGTGAAGGAGAAGCAGGCTAACAGGCCGACGGACTCGCCTTCCTGGGCTGTCGAGTCCAGATCTTCTTAGGTGGCTTCTCAGTTTTGCCCCTGGTGATAAGCTGTCTACAGAAACCCTGTCCAGGCTGGTGGACCTGAGGCTGGGGCGCTCCCGGCCTCCCACCCTTCTGCAGGCTCGCAGCACCGACCATCCCATTGTCGTGTTTGCAGAGCCCGCGGCCGACTCACGCCTTACAAGATTGGCAAAATACCTATTCGAGTATTGTGAGGAGATATTCTTGAAGTGATTACCACGACAGAAACAGCCTATTAGTTGAATCACCCAGAAAATTACTGTTTTCTCTTTGAAATTCTTTCCCCACCTGTGTCAGGGTAATAGTTTCCATCTTTCAAGGCTGCTGTGGAAACCAAACAAACACAATTTCTCACAAGAAGCCTGATACTTAGTAGGCAGTTAAGAAAGTCGGAGAACATAATGTCTGCACACCTCAAAATTCACCAAGTGTCTTCTCTATCCATGTTCCGTATATTCTAGTCTTTACTGTAAACGGTTACCTTCCCTAGAATCTCTCTAAAGCAACAATGATGTCTTAAGCAGTTCTCTAAATTTTCAAAAGGCTATTTCTAAAGTTTTTAGTTCCATTTGTTATTATCTAATAATATTTACAAGGACAAATTAATCATCATTTTCCATATACTAAATAAAGGATATGGGTTTAGGGGCTGGCTTTTATGCAGGAAAAGATGAAAGAATTACAGAAAGAATCTTGGTGCTCTCTTTAAAAAATATTTTTCCAATGTCTTATAAAAACAAGTCTGGATGTCTGTGGATGAAATCTGCACGAAAACATCCTTGGAATATAACCTTACTTTCCTCTGATCTAATCAAATGTGAAAGCTTCAGAGCTCGCTGTTGCAAACCTGATCTGGTTTAGCTGCTTGCAGACTAAAAATAGCTTTCAAAAAGTGAAACAATCAGGGATTTAGTCATCTCAAAGTAATTTCAGATTTTGTAACTTAAAAAAAAATAAATCATAAATCACAGCCAACAAACCCTTGTTGCATAGGTCCTGCTTTACCTGGGTCTTAACCATCCAGCAGAAAAGTATAAAAACGAAGTAGAAGAAGTAAAGCCATGCTGTTATGTTGAGCTGTACGGGACAATTTCTGACATTGTCAGTGAAGCGGAAGACCCAATATTGTTATGTGCTACTAGACTCTTTTAGAATATTTTGCTAAGTTTACACACATATAATATTCAAATAACGGAACGTAACAAAAAAAGGGGATACAGATGAATGTCCATTTTGTATCTGTGTATTCAGAGTGGCTAGGATAGATATATAGTTACATTCTCTTAATGAATAGAGGGATTTGTTCTAATAGTGTTTGTAAATAGGATATCATGTCTGCATCTTGGACAGCAATTAACCACTAGGAAGAATGTATGCAATGTGTTAATTATTGAAACTGTCCTACCAATTTGGTTCGAAACTGTCTCATTGCTATTTGTTTCTCAATAAAACTATGGAAAAAAAAAGAATAAAATATAAAAAAATTGATAATTTTTCTTTTTTTTTTTTTTAAAAAAAGAAAAAAAAAGAATAAAATATAACAAAAATTTTAAAAAATCACAGCCAACAATTTATATTAGGTTTAGTGTCAGTAAACAACTTATTTTAAGTTTGTTTGGTTTTTTTTTTTTTTTTTTTTAGTGGCTTAGGCTTTTGAAGGGAAATAAAATTCTATTAATAATTAATGATTATTAGTGAATATGAAGGATGTATTTCAATGTGGCCTCAAACACAAAATCTGGGATGGTCCCTTTGCAGGATGCATTTCATCCAAATTGGCAGGATCAGAATTACATGGTAGGGTTGGGAGATAGGTCACGAACATAAGTGTGTGCCTGGCAAGCACAAGTCCCAAGTTCAACCCCCTGGTATCACCAAAAGAAAAAAAAAA